TTAAAGAACAGCCAGAAATCTTTGGCAGCTGTGGGAAGCTGGATTGTGTCACAGGGGGAATTGCAGATGTGGAGGGGAGACTGTTGAGCCTTGTGGGTACAGGAACCCCAGTTGTAGTCCTTGGTGGCTAAGAGATCCTTCCAACACAAATGTGACAGAAAGAACTTGACAATGAGCAGCTCAGCTGTCAGCTTAAAGTACCACAGCTGGGCCTTCATTTTTGGGCTATAGTAATCTACTTTGTAGTGTTTTTCAATAGCTTTTCCTTTTCTGGGCAAGAAAGGTAAAATATGTGGGCAAATTGATGCTTCAGAAAGGGGAAGGAGAACACACCTTCCCAAAGTTTTGCTTTTGCTAGCCCTGTAAGAATTGTAATCATGTGAAGTGCCCAGCTGAGCTCAAATGCAGCTCCCTCTGCTTCAGTGAACACGTGGCTGTATTTGGGGATTAGGCTTTTCTTGATGGTGTGATTTAGATAGCAAGTATATTATTTCAGGTTACTGGAGGTTAAAGAAAAAAGCCATAAATTATTATCCAGCCTGGGTAATGGGTGGGTGCTGCTCAGGAGAAAAGGGAAAGAAGTAGGTGTGGAAGGATAGAAGGAACTTGTAAGCAGAATGCTGTTCCATAGCTGCTCTATAGTCAGTAGTTAATGCTTTTTGGGAGGATTACAGAATGATACAAGACTCCAAGTTGGTAGCTTGTTTATTTCCCATCTCACAACTGTAAATGTAGGCAGTCACACACAAAGGTACACAGCTCTGGGGTAAGTACCACAGGTATTTCATTTGCACAGGCTGTGAAACAGGGAGCTGCTTTGGTAGCAAACTTGTGCAAAAGAGAAGCTCAGGACGTCGGGAGAGGAGGGGTGTAGTTGCAGGGGGAAAGATGACAGGAGTGTTAAGCCAAAAGAACAAGCAGCCTGTATTTTTCCTAGAAGTGCCAGCACTGCCAAAGCCATGGGATTTTAGTCATGTAGCTTGTTAAGGGCATGTGTGAGACACATGGGAGAAATAAGGTGTGAGGTGTTAATGGCAAGGCAGGGCAGCTGGGATTGCTATGTGGCTGGGAAGGAGCACCCTTTGGCTTCTGCTGAGCCTGCAGCTGTGTGGCTGGGAGTGGAAAGGAGGTGACTCCAGGCTGCTGCCTGCAGCTGTGGTCCCCTGGAGGCATTTCTGTCTGCTGCCAGGTCACATTGCTGGCTGCACCTTGCACTGCCTCCACTCTGACACGAGCTGCACTGATGGGTCACTGCAGCCTGGAAGATTGAGTCCCTCCCCACACTGTCCAACTGAAAGAGCACCACTGTGTCTTCAGGGGGTTAAAATCAGGTGAAAACACTTCTGGTTTTTTTCAGTTAATTTTTATCCACTGTCAAAGTTCTTATTCTTTAACCCATTACTTACCTGAAGACCTGACCCTACAGCTTTGCTTAGGCTGGGAGCTCTGGGACAAGGAGTTCCTGCTGGTAGGCTGGTACAGGACATTCCAGTTGATATTTTGGGTTGTACCAGTGTGGTACTGCTCATGTCAGTAGCAGTGGCAAGTCCTCCCCCTTTGGTAGAGAATGTGAGCAGCAGCAGGCAGGCACAGGCTGAGGCTGCAGCAGTTGAATGAGGTGTGAGTAGTTCCCTCCTTAAAGCTTGAGGAGTTGCTGTTGTACCATGTTCACTGTCCAGATGGGCTTTGCAATGCCCATAACCCTCATGAGCAGGTACGTGGTTGGACTTGACAGGAGAATTAAAACAACTGAAGTAATAACAGTGAAGAAGAAACCAGCACTTGCTGGATGCTGCCCCACCTGCCAGGTGCTGACAGCTCCAGAGTCTGGGAGGTGAGTGGTGCAGTGCTTGTTCAAAAGACTGATGGTTGCATACCAGTCTTGCCACAGACTTCTTGAATGATGCTGTTACATGAAGGTGTGCTTCCACTACAGTGAATCTGGAGGAGCACAGCCTGATATTTTGACACATCAGGTGAAAGGCCTTTTTATTTTAAAAAAGCTCATTTCTGTCATTCTGGCATCCAAAGAAATGAAGTGTTCTCATTCTGAAGCTGAGATTCTTTTGTTACTGGCAGGTGCCTTCTGAGTTATCCCTGTTGGTGACAGTGAGGTCTGGTTTTCAGGTGGTTTTGGGAAGCAGTTGGGGATACCCAGGTGCAGATGGTTGGCACGTGGTTGGCTCCTGGATGACAGAGCTGTGCTGGCTCTGCAGAGCAGTGTCCTGCACAGTGAGAATCTCCTGCAGTGTACTTGGTGAGCCAAGGACTCTGCTGGACACAAGATGGGGCTCCTCCCCAGCTGATACCCCACTGTCCTGGACAAAATGGACAAAACAGGAGAGATATTAAATGCTGCTTTGGGGAAACTCTCTCTCCATGGGACTGACCTAGTTCTTACTTTGAGTTAGCACAAAGACAGTTCGTGCTGGTTTTGATGCTATTAGAACTTGAACAGTATATACACCCACGGTGTCTGAAACTATTCTAAACTAATAGTTTAAAATAGAGGCTTTTTTCCTTTTTTTTTTTTTGGTCAGGGCACAGACTGTGTTATTTAGTAGCCACTGGTTCATTTAACTGGTAGCTTCAGTAAATCATTCTTTCATTTGATTCACATCCTTTACATAATACTGTGTTTTATTTGACCAAGTGAAATCTGGGCAGATTTAGGTCATTAAGAATCATGGCTGTTTTTACAAGAAGCTTCCTAAATGGATATCTACAGAACGAGAGGAACAGGTAGAACCAACACCCCTAAAAAAACCCCCAAACCACCCCTGACTCAATCTCTTTGTCCTCTTTATGAAACTCAGAAAAATAGTTCTGAGCAGTTCAGCTGGTTCTACCCTAAAATCCAGAAGGGTTGGTGTTGTTCTGACTCACATCAGGAGCTTCAGTTTGTTTTGTATGCAAATCTGTATTTCTGGCCCCTGTTGAAGGTTCAGCTCCAGAGAAAAGGTTGCTGATGTCTCACAGCTCTGATTCTTCATGGTTCAAATGGACACTTCTTGTGGAACTGGCACGATGGTCTTGTCCATTTAGCTCAGAGAGCTTGTCAGAGGCTGTTCTTGGCCAGCCAGAAACCCCATTCTCACAAGTTTAGCTGATGCCCTTGAGATCTGCTCGCTGTGCACACCCCCAGTCCAGCCTGCACAGGGGTTCACCCCGGTTCTGTCCGTTGGCAGAACAATGGGAGCCACTCCAGCCCAAATCCAGATGCAGCAGGGAAATCTGGGCTTGGTTAATCTGTTACCATCTCACACACAGGTACACTTTGCCATTTAATGAGTAACTTGGGGGATGAGATGACTTTTGAGTGTCTATTCACTTAAAACCTAAGGAGGTTACACCTGATCTGTGACAGTTTGTTCAGGAAACACCGAGGGTTATGGTGAGAGTTGGGAGGTGGTGCTGGCTGTTAAACTAAGGATGGTATTTTGTGATGAAATCCTCTTCAGAGCAGACTGTGGGGTGGGCATGTTGAGCACAATGGGTTTATGGGTTTGAGCCTTACCTGGTTTCTGTGTTGCTGCTATAACTCCACCACTTTGTGTGATCATTTTACCTGATCTCAGTCTTGCATAGGGGATTGGATCCTAGCTCCAAATGTGGCGTTCAAGACTAGAATCCCAACTGAGGACACTTTTTAGAAAGAGTACTGATAGTCAAGTGGAGAGTAGAATTCTTCCAGAAGTAATTAACTGCCCATTGACTGGGATGCTGTCTGGCCAGAGAAGTCTGGTTTGGCACTTCAGAAATTTCTGTAAAAAAAGTGTCTCTGTAAATCCTTTGTGAGCACTGGTCAGAGATGCGGCCAGTTGTGGAAGAGCTGATAAATGATGTGATTATTTTAACCACTGGATGCATATTTACTGTTCAGAGTATTGCTACACAGGTAAGTAATAATAGCCAATTCTTGTGTGTGTTTCAGGGGGGAGGAATGGCAGGGTTGTTGCACTTCACAGCTGCTGCACTCCATGGTCCTGTGCCACTCTCACCCCATTTCCCTTGGGAGAAGAGGTGAGGATTTCTACCAGTGACTTCGTTGTAGATGTAAAGCTGAGTATATTAAGCAGCATTCTGTCTAAGACCAGATTGCAGCAAGGGGAGCTTTGAATAGATGTCAGCACTTCCTTCACACTGGGGACAGAATGGTTTTGAGCAGGGATATAAAGAGGTTTTAGGAGAATGTCCATCCTTGAGCGAACCCAGATAGCAGCTGGACAAGACTATGAGCACCTGATGCATTGTCACAGCTGGCCATGCTCGGTGTGGGGGGTGTAATCCTTTTTCTGTTGGGGAGGGGATTGTCCTCTGCCCCTCTACCCCCCTCCATTTACTACAAGGCTGATGATAAGCTGAGAAAATTGATAATTTTAGTGCCAACAGGTTTTGTTCCTGGCCAATCAAAACAAACATGCCATGGATAAGAAAAGGAGGGTGCAGACACTTAGGGTAAACACAGAAAGGACAATTGTCTTCTGTTACGAGTGGTGCTGGCTGCAGTTGTCTGATAATTACCTGTGTGTGTGTGTCTGTGTGTGTGTCAGGGTCTCTTTGTCACCATCTCCCCTCACGGGTGTCTGTACACACCTGGCAGTGCCTCTGTGTCTGCTGGGCCACGTGTGTCTCTGGGTGTCTTGCAGTGTCCCTGTGTCTGTCTCTTGATGTCTGTGGGTGTATGTTGTGCTAATACTGCTGTAGCTGCCTGATCTCAGTGGCTTCTTAGATAGTGTTCTTGGTTGTTTTTTTTTCCTTTTTCCCCCACTGCCTCCCAGCATTGACCCAGTGTTCTCCCCAGAGCAGAGAGTGACCCCTCTGGTCATGTCCCTGTGTCCCCACAGCTGGGATGGCTGCTCTGAGGTCACCTTCTGGCAGGGCCCCTGTGGCTGAGCAGCCCCTGGTGGAGCTGCAAGAGCACAATCCCCACAGTGACTTTGGAAAGAAACAGCTTCACACAGATAGACGGGCAGGAGACAAACACAGGCTGAGAGTCACTTTTACAAGTTTCTTTATGAAATTAAATGTTGCCCCTGGTCTGGGGGGAAGATATAGTGCAAGAAGGAGTTTGTACATGCTACTGAATTCAGATATCCCTGGATGACCAGACTTTGGTCAGCTACAGCATCAACAAACACTGGATTTCTGAGCTCTGCAGTGTTCACTCACACTTGAGCTGGAATGAGCCAGTGTCTTCCTTCCACTGTCACAGGATGTCTCCTAATCTAGGGAATTCAGTCAGTATGGCTTCTAACTCTCACTATGGTAAGGCAAATCTTTTTGCTAACCAAGGTTTAAATTCATTCTTTTTGGCCACCATTTGAAACTTGGGTACTTAAAGTGAGGCTCCTTATGCCAAATCTAGGCCTTTATCAAGTGGTTTTCCATTTTTAAAAGTGTCAGCAACACTCCTTGAATTTGAGGGTCTGTGGGAGTTTGCATAACAATGACATTGCAGAGTTGAACAGCAGACTCTGACTTCTGGGAGCTAGGTTTGCAAATATTGACCTTTCTTTAAAAAAAAAGGAAAAGAAAAATTAAACAGACAAAACAGGCATCAAGTTAACAACATCTGACAAGAACAATTACAGACTTACAAAATACACAGTTCTGATTTTTACCATAAATAAACACATTACAAACAATGAGCATTTTCATTGGCCAGGAAATATGGCAGAATGATGGAGAGACAAGAATTTAAAGAATTGCGTATGGTATTAATTAGGCACATTTTTCTCTAACTTATGTAACTGAAACCCACTAGAGAGATTCTTCGACTTGACTCATGCTGCAGGTTGGCACAGTTTAATGTAGGACACCTTTCACCGGTGCTGCTGGACTAAAGGGAGGGAGGAGGTCACAGTGCAGTGCTCACTGTGCTCTGAGTGCCTGCAGAGGCTGCTGAGTTAGTTTGGACACGTGGAGGAGGATCACAGCTCTGAGAAACGCAGGGCATGGGCTGGGCAGAGCAGAAGGGTTCATCCCTCCTCATCACGGACTCTGAACTGTTGTTCTGAGCAGGGCAGCGGCCACGGGGCCAGCGGGTCCATCAGCTGCCCTCCCCTGTGGCAGCTGCCAGCCAGCAGCGGTGGGCACAGCAGGAAGGCGTGAGTCCAAGTACAGCTGACAAGGTAAATCTCTCGGGCTGCAGCCTGTCCAGCTCCCTGCTGCACGCTCCTGGAGCTCTGCCTGCTGGGCAGTGCGGGGCTGGCTCCGTGGCACCGCTGCCCGCGGTGTGCGAGCGCCCACGCGGCCTCACCTGGGAGCCGGCGGGTCAGCCGGGCTGCAAAATAAATAGGGGAGGCAGGAGCGCCTGTGCCATCCTCTGTAAACACAGGGTTGGATGAACCTGGGCTCCACCTGCCAGGAGTGACGGATAAAGTGCTTTCTCAGAAGGGGTTCAGGCACAAACACGGGGCTGCCCCTATTTCCGGAAGGGCGTCAGCCTGCTGATGTTCTGCCAGAAGTTCGAGGGCTTGCGCTTGGGCTCTGCCAGCATGAAGACCTGCTGCTGAGGGAGCGTGGTGGGCAGGGTGGGGTGCTTCTGCCGCATCAGGAAGTCATAGTAGGGCCTGGTGACAGCTGGGAGGAGGAGGAGGAGGAGATGGGAAGCACGTTAGTCAAAGACAGCTCCTTTCCCCCCACTCTACCGCCTTCTCCAGTCCCCATTAAAGCTGCACGGCTGTGAATTGAGTTTGTCTTAGTGTAACCTTTCCTTCAACTTATCCTTACTTTCAGCAGTGCCTTTTAGGACTGGAGCTCATGTGGAAGGCTCAGAAATGTGTTGCACAACTGTCAGGTGTTCTGCCAGCACGACAGCAGGGCTAGAGAGCGCAGCTCAGGACTGGTGACAAACTTAGCTGGTGCTTTTGCCTGTGCTGGGAGAAGCAGCTGCTGTGCAAGTGATGCTGGTGCCTGTTACAATCTCCTGGGCTGGATTTCTGACTAGGAATGGTCAGTGCCTGTGTGGAGAAACAAGGCTGGTCTGTGCAATTTCCTCTAGTGCTGTGTCCCAAGGGCTTTGCTCTGTTGGCATGGTCTGGTCTCCTTCCAACCTTCCCCCTGTTTGCAGCCAAATCTTATTTCTGGCCCTTTTTGACATTTAGCCAAGCTTTCTTTCAGGAGATGTGGCTGGGGATTAAGTGCTGGCTGGTACCACCAAGAGGAAGTGGTTGCCTCTGTGGGTTCAGAGGAACCAAGCAACACCTCTTCCTCTGAGCAGAGAGAAGGGGAAGGTGGCATCAACAGGGCTGTCTTCAGCCAACAGTGCTGTGGGCACAGGAACCTTTATTTTGCTTGACTTCACTCTCCCCTGGCTGCTGCTAATTGTCCTTGTCTCTGACAGGTTGAATGAAGAGCTCTGCCCAAGCATGGTTCCTACCCCTGGCACCCTGCCCAAGGTGCAGGTTTCAGAGCATCTTCCACAGGCACAGCTGCCCAGCAGGAACAGTCCCTGCTGTGGCCCTCTGTGCACCATGGGGATTACTAAAAACCTTGCCTTTTGCCAAAGGGAATGCCATACTGCTGGGAAAGCCTGCTCCTAGGGAGAGGCTGTGCACTGGCCTGGAGGAGAAGCTGCTGGGTTTTGGCAGAGTGCTGATTATGTGCAAAGTGGCTCTCCTGGAGTTGGGAATCTCCAGCCATCTGTATCTACCAGGAATTGTAGTGCAAATTGTCACCATCTGGCCTTCTCAAGAGTTTGTTAGTGTCACTTCATTGAAGCCTCTCCCATGTAATAAATACAGAGCCACCCCCCATTGTCACAGTGTTCCTGTGTTCAGGTGTGACTCACCCTTGGGCTTCCCAGCATGGTGCTGCTTGCTGGCATTCAGCATTGCCTGCTTTTTCTGCACCTCCGTGATGGAAAACCCTGGAAGGTAAAGCAGATTTCTGTCAGCAGCAGGTCATCATTGGGTACCTCAGGAGAAGACAGGTAGGCAAATGCCTGAGGTGAGAGGCCACAGTTACTGCCAAGGCTGGGGGGCACAGCTGGGCTGCACAAACCTCCTGCAGGGTTTGCTGCCTGCCCCTCAGCCCATGCTACACTGGGGGGAGAAGCCACTCCAGGCCACTGGTGGTTGAAATTTTTCAGAATACACTAGGCTGAATTAAGAAGGATTTGGACAAAACAACACAAATCCTGTTGTCCAGTGAGAACCCTTGACTGAACCTGTTCTATGCTGTTCTGGACCCTGTATATAATGTATTGACTCTTTTGTCAGCCCTGCTTGAACTCCTTAAGACACATCAGCCTCCCTGAGGACAAACTCCAGTGATGGCTTATGGTGATTTGCAGTTTTTTAATTGCACAGATTCATTCAGAATGTGTAATTCAGCAGCTCAGAGCTGCCCTCGAGCATGGGCTGGCTTCCCCACCCTTTCACTCCTCAGGCATTAGCCAATGGGTAAAAAAAGATGAAAAGCCAAAAATAATAATAATGATTTTAAAAAAACAAAAAAACCAGTCTCCCAACATTGCCTCTTTCCATACCTGTCTCCTGGTCGAGCTGCACCTGCCTCCTTTCATTCTCAAATGCCTTCAGCCAGCGCTGTTTCTGCTCAGGCTTTTTTGCACAGAATAAATGGACTTCCTCAGTGTCTCTGCAGTGCAGCTTAAATGCATTTTTCACACTGATATTGAAGTCCTTGTCTTTGCCATCTTCTACGTCCAGTATTTCCATGTCATCCATGTTGATCCGACTCTTGTAGTACAAGATGTCCCTGCGCAGAAGGTCCTGGAAGAGATCACAACACATGTTGCTGTTTCTTGGATGTGGTGGAGAATTTAACTTTCCTGCTATCATTACAGTCTGTAAAAGAAATGAACAGTGGATTTGAGTCTGTGGAACTGCAGAGTGCTGAGCTGCTGTGGGCACTGTAGGGAACCACAGTGCTTGTCCAGGCAGTGGGGTCAGGACTGGCTGGTGGCTGTGGTGGGGCCTATCTGCTGCCCTGTAGCTTGGGTGTTGCACATGATCCCAAATCCTCATTAAGCCTCTGACTGAAAACACTATTTGAATCCTTCAGTTCCAGTTAAAAAGCAAAAATATAGTATTTAGCTCTTGGTTTTTTGTTGACAATGAAAAGTAACTTTGAGAACAGTGATTTTCATACCTAAGTTACCTGGAGCTACCTGCATGCTGTGGAATAGGCAAAAACTAATTGGCACATTCAGTTCTGAAATTCCAGAGGAAGGTACTGTTCATTGGCTCCAAGAGGGAAGATTTCTGTAATTACTCAGCTTATGAAAAAAAGCTGTACTTACAGACTTACATGTGCTGTTAGCATGGCCTTACTGACTGCCAGGGCCCACAACTGTTCATCAGATCTGCACTTTTTTCTGAATACAACACGAAGGTGGAAGTTCAGATGAAGTACAAGGTAGTTAAAAGAACTTGTGTGACAATACTCACAACTGAGTTGTACAGAATAACCCCACACTAACCCCGGAAGCTGTGCAGTGCTTTCCTCTTTTGCTGTGAGGATTAGGCCAGTAGCTGATTGCTGTGCTCAGGTGCACAGAACACCCCAGGACCTCAGAGGAAAGACTGCACAGAGTGCCAGGAGCACATGAGGCCAGGAAGAATTAAAGAAACACAGGGGTGGAGAGGGAGTTCACTAAAATCCATCAGCACAGCAGTAGCCAGCTTTCATGGTTACCTTCTTGCAGCAGACAAGCTGGTGATCGAAGAGGAAGAACATCCTCTGTTGGCTCTTGGCTTGAGGGTGGGAGATTTTGGCTAATTCCCCAGAATAGATGAGTTCTGAGCTTCTGACTAGGACATCTTCTCCCTGAGAACAGCACAAAGAACGGGTTGGTCTCAGCCTCCTCTCAAAGTGGGAGCCTGAATTCCTGCTGACAGAACTCGTGTGGGAATGAGAGACAGCCTCTGTGCTGGAGGACAGCCCTTGGCACATCAGGGAGACACTGTGCCCTTGGTACCCAGGGGGTGAGAACTGAATTTGATTAGAACATTAGCTTGTTAAAATTTTTTAAAATCTCCTTTTCCAGGGAGTCTGCTCAGGAAAGCTGCTCCATCCCAGATATAAAGGGGGCACGTAAGCAGGGAGCTAAGAATTCAGCCTGACATCCTTGGGCAGGGAGACAGTGTGGGTTTATTGAGTCTAGGATTTAGAAAACCAGTATTTTCTTTCTTTTATTTAGCAATTTTTTTAAATGAGTCTACAGGGAACCTTGGTTTCCTCTGTGGCTATGCCAGAACTTGCCTTTCTGCAACAGTAACCTGGCTTGTTAAGAATTAAGGAGTGATTTTGCTCATCTTGAAAGTTTGAAGTCACTCAAGATAAAGTGGGGGGCAAGACAAAAATAACAGAATTTCACTAACCCACATGCTGATTTCATTCTGCAAGGAAAAACAGGGAAGCAAGAATCCCAGGGAACATGCAAAGGCATCTGGTCTAGCTGGATTATATGCCAGACCTGCTCAGTTGCACTAAAAGATCATAACTGCTTAAATAAAATCAGACTCTCCACAAAGATGGGCAGAGAGCTCAGGTGGGGCTAGACAGTGAGATATCACTGCAGAGAGAAGCTGTTGGGAGGGCAGAAGAGGAACAAGGTGGAATTCCTTGGGCAGGGAAGTCCCCTACCTCCCAGTCCTCTATGGAGCTCTGCCACTGAGCGATCTTGTCGATGTTCTCCAGCCGCCGCTTCCTCTCGTTGATGAGCCGAGCCACGTTCTTCATGGCATTCAGGGCAGCCTCCACATCCTTGAAATCCCTGGGGAGGGGCAGAGGCCTGAGGCTTGGCAGAATGGCACGGGGGTGTTGTACCTACACTCCAGAGAGCAGCCTGGCACAGAGCTGGGTCTGGAACCAGGAGTTCCACCTGCAGTCTGTCCCAGCTGTTCTGTGCTGGAATCAGAGACAGCTGCTGCTGTGGCAGCTCTCAGACACTCTCTGCTTTTGAGGCACAGGTTAGATGTTGATTAGAACAATAGCATGTTACATTTTTTAAAATCTCCTTTTCCAGGGAGTCTGCTCAGGAGAGCTGCTTCATCCCAGACATGCCCTCCCTTTATGTGTAAGGGAGGCACGTGAGCAAGGAGCTAAGAATTGAGCCTGACATCCTGGGGCAGAGAGACAGTGTGGGTTCATTGAGTCTGGTAACAAATCCTGGCCACCTCTGGGGAAGGGAAGGGAAGGGGGTAAGTCATCAAATTTAGCTACAGAGGTGTAAATACAAGTTGCTGAAGAACCTCCAGGTTCTCATTTTCTTTGTGCAACATAACACAACTCGTTCACAATGCTGCTGTTCCCATGCAGGGACTGGTCTGTGGAGCAGAGGTGAAGCAGTCCAACAGTAACTGGCTTGGTTCAAACATGAGCTGATGGATTATCTGGCAGGGTAGGACAGAGGCTGATCTGCCCTCCCCACCCACCATCTGTGGCCACCAGCTACTTCTGCTGAGTTCAGAGCAGCTGGGAAGGAGCTGAGCTGCACAACTTGGCTCTAAGGCAACTCTCAAAACATCTGTGCACTTCCTTAAGGAACAAGACATGCTTAAAACCATTCTGGGAAGCACCAGGGCTGCAATTAGGAAGGTGAAATTAAGTCAGACCACAATGGACCAATATCAACACTGTCATACAGATTTTTCATGTTTTCAGGTACTTAATTAAGTTATTTGACCCAAAGGGAGTGCCTTCACCCTGAAAGTGAGTGATGGATTTGGGGGCTTTGGGCTGGCATGACAGGGCACCAAGCGTGCATGGCTTGACTGCTGCAGGGCACAACTTCCCACTGGTGAAGTGCAGCTGTATGGGCATGGTGGGATATATTCAACCATGCTTTTGGAGGCAAAGTTCTGAACAAAACCACCAGAAACACGTAGCTCCAAAGTATGTATGTGCTGGTATCACTGATGCATAAGCTGAATAAAATAGAAAAGGGCCATTATGAAGTCGACCTTGTAAATCTTGATCTGTGACAGGAAAGCTGAGTGCTACTGTAGTGGGAAATTTTGTAAATGTACTTTTATGATATACTTATAATAAGTTATAAGTTATTATTATTATAATATTATATAAGTTGTATACTTATATAATAAGTTATATATAACTTATGTAATGTAAATATACTTTATAAAATCATATAAATACATTTCTTTTCCTGGTTTCTACATGGTAACCTGTAAGAATTGAGCTGGCTGCAGTTAGCCACTGCCCTCCATGCATGATCCAGCACGAGCCCATTTCCATGGGAGCATCCTGGCTCCTTCCCTGCCCCTCCCTGGCCTACCTGTGCTGGGGGTTGGTGTACTTGAGCAGCTCGGCCAGCTGCAGGGGGTATTTGCAGATTTTCTGCACGGGGGTGAGCAGGAAGCCATCCAGGGAGATGTCAATCATCTTCTGCAGCAGGCGGCAGGCCTCGAAGAAGTAAACGTACTTGTTCACCTTGGTGAGGCGCGACAGCTCCAGGCACGCGTTGGGGTGGTTGTTGCAGTACTCGGAGTAGATCTGAAACTCTGTTTGCTGCAAGGCACAGGGAGGGATTTATTGCCCATGTCCTTCAGACTCCTGCGCCTGTTTGGTGATTTGTATCCTCTAACTGGAGCTGTTTGCTCATTTGTATCCCCCACAGGCTCTCAAGCTGGAGTTCTAAAGCTGGGGGCTGGCAAGGTGTGTCACAGCTTCGTCTGAGAGACCCAGACATTCCCACATACCCTGCTCTGGGCTCAGCTGAATGCTTTTAGTGCCCACACCAGCCACAGCTGATCCTTCACTGACCTCAAAATACCATTACTGTAAACTCAGTCCCACTCGAGATTTTGGAGTATTCCTACATTTTCCCTGAAGTACCAAGGGCTGGCAGGGACTATAGTGTTCAGAAGATAAGGTTCTTTGAAAATGCTCTTTCCACAGCCACGAGAGCTACAGGGTATTTCTTTGGGAAGTAGTTGAAAACAGCTAGGATAGAGGGTGGTGGCATTTAGTTTGGTTGGATGGGTCTTTTTAAAGAAGACTTCAGTTCTGTCGGATCAATTTCTAAATCCTCTGGCTCAACCCATGCTCAGCTACCCCTTTCCCATGAAGTCCAATTTACTTACATATTCCAAGAAGCATGAGCCAACCTCACTCAAATGTGGGTGGTCTTTGTTAAATTTCTTCTCTAGTGCTTTAACAAATTTCTTCTGGCACCTGTAGATGTCCTCAATATTCCCAAAGATTGTCTTCAGCTGTTCTTCTGTAAACATGTCGGCTCTCTTGCGGCACTGCTTAATGTAACCCTGAGAAAACCAGATTGGAAAGCTTCCTGAGCATCTGCTCTGTGGCACAGAAAGCCTCAAGGACTGCACTCAGGTGTACACCAGGCTCCTGCATTTCCTTCCTGCAGATCTGTACCCATCTGTAACTATTATTTCCTCTCATGTTACCCTAAACACGGTACAAATAGAAGCTGCCACAGACACAGCAGCCCTGGGTGATGCTGCAGCCCACACCTGAAGGAGTCACAGAGCTGCTTTCTCTCTTGCTGAAAAAGCCTTTATGTGTCTGCAATGGGGTGCTCTGACTCCAGCACTGGTAGATTCAGACCAGTCAAGTCCAGGTGTGGACCTGGTTTGGTGCCTGTGTGAGGAGCTGCCCAGCTGACTCAGCAGAGGAGAGCTCCGAGGGACAGGAGGACACTGCAGAGGAGAGGCTTGTTTGTGTGTGCTCTTTGCCCTAGCTGCCTCTGCTGGGAGCCACTTTTGCACCATTGCAGTGGAGAATTCTGTTCCTGCAAAAATTCCAACTGCCTTCACTCCCCCAGTGTACAGGATGGATCTCTTTTAGAAGAGGTGTCACAATATTCAGCCTATTTGACAGTAAAGGATCCAATTGGCTGAGCATCCCCCACTTGTTTTGATCTGAGCATGGCTTGCCTGAAGGCTGGAGTTGCTGATTTTATTACCCCAGAACACATATTAGAGAGGACAGCAGTGCTAGACATTTACTTTTCTCTGGCTTGGGAAATTCAATTAATTCCATTTAATCAGAGCGCAAGTGAGTGCTCCAAATGCAGAGGCATTTGGGATTTTGCTGTAATGAATTGTCTTCTGTTTTCTAACCATATACTGGCATTCAGCAGAACTGATGAAAATCCAGTCTCGTTTTCAGAAAAGCTACATGCTTAGGATCCCTTTCTGGGCAAGCATGGGACACACAGTCCATTATCCTTCAGAGAAGCTCTTACAGTCCTTTCCCCCTTTATTCCTTACCTCACAAATGTCCTTCAGGTGCTTGATGTAGTCTCTCTCTGTGCTTATGATCTCGTTGATGACGTTGGTCCTCATTTGGTCTTTGGTGGTCTGGCCCATCCCAAAGCGCCGGGAGTCGTCCTCTTTGCCCCCCTCCACCTTCAGGGGATAATCTTCCATGGGCTCATCCTGGTTCACCCGCAGCTGGGAGGCACACAAGATGTTCACTGCTCCTGTTGCTAAAAACAGCTCTGCCAAGGAAGTGGCTGCGTGGCAGACACACACTGAGCTGGGACAAGGTGAGAGGAGGCTGTGTGTATTGCCTGGAAACATTTTCCCCTCGGGGAGGCTGAGGCCAGACAGTCACTTTGGGGAGGGCACATGGCAGCTGCTCCCACTGTGACATGGGTGGGTTTAGGCAGGCATTTCTAGTGGACAGAAGTTACAGGAATAATGTGGAGTCCTTCAGGAATAATACGTATAAAATCAGGACAGAAATGGTTGATTGAGTGAATTTTTCTTAAATATTTGAAGGGACACTTCGGGAGGGAGGGGAGAACCAGTAAAGGTTGGGTTTTTATCTACTTTATTGTTCTCATACTGTCAGTAACAGATGGCCCCTCGGTAACTGCTTCCCCGGGATTATTTAAAGAGAGTTCATTGCTAAAGCAGAAGCAGACCAGCTGCCTGTGGGCACCGAGGTGGGAAAGAAGGGCAGAGCAGGGCAGGGCAGGGCGGTGTGGACTCTCGGTGCCCCATCAGATGGCAGCACAGCACGGGCGCAGGGAAGCACCGAGCTCAAGGGCACGGACTGAGCTTTCCACTCTGAGCTCCCTTGCCTGGTACTGCTGCGTGCCCCTGGGAACACTGCATGGCTCAAAGGATCCGTCCCAGCACAGAGAAGGAGTGAAAGGTAGGAAGGTAAAACAAACATAATTATAGGAATTTTTAGTACAGTGACACAGAACTGCTTTAAACTTTTAATGTAGTTTCTTCTAGGCTCTATGACTTACCACTTGATACAAACACACCTACGTATAAAACACAGCGCACACCCTCCCTTGCTAACACAGGCACACATTACATTTACTCACTGCTGAAGCCTCAGGATGTGCAACCCTGGCTCTCCTTCAGTGTGAGCAGGACATCGGCAACTCTTAAACTCAGACCTCAAATGTGGCCTGAAACTCAAATGTGGAGTGACAGAGCCCTGCAGTCTAAGCCAAGCCTCCAGACATACCAGCCCTCCCTGCAGTGAGCTTGAGAGCCAGTGGTAATTAGCGGGAAATCTTCAGCTGGATGCTTGAATAAGCGTTGTGATTCCTCTGTTAAAAGAATTTCTAACTCTGCATCCCTAATGCCTAGCACTAGTCTGCTTTACTCTGACAAGTTTTTGCCAGCCAGGACAATTCAACTTATCTGTAACATGAAAGAAAAAAATTCTGTGTTTTCATTGCAAGAAAAAGCAGTGCTGAGGTCTTGGTAATCTTATTTGCAAAACATTCCACTGTTTGTATTAATTACGCAGCTGAGACTAACTCCTGCAGCCTGTAACAAAGCATTTCAAAACTGCCCCGCTTCTGCAATGACTTTTGCTACAGACACCGGATGACCTCGTGTCACCTCCTTTCATGCTTCACCTGGTTTGGGGTCATTTGTGATCTGAAGTGACCTGGATAAAGAGCTAAAGGGCTGAGAATCTCTGCCCTTAGGCACCTCGCTGCCTCTGCAGCGCTGAGGAGCCTGCCCCGAGGTGGTGAAAGCTGTCAGGCACTGACACCCACAGTCAGGAGAAAGGAAAAAAGCCTTTCCCCTCAGCGGGACGGCGAGCACAGCAGTTACCAGCCTCCCACACTCCTGGTCCCCCCTGCTTGCCCTGAGAGCTCAGATGTGTTTCAGAAAGCTCTGCAGGATGCAGTAGGCACTGTCTGGGCTGGTCTGCACAGCTCTTCTGTGTGGGCTTTGAAGCTGGCACCAGGGAACAGCCTTGGCCCACAAGTGTCTCACATTGCCCCAGATCATGGCCCAGACATTTCTTGTGTTTTTCTCCTCCATTTTTTAGTGCCTGGCTCGCAGTGCTGTGTGACAGCCCAGCAGCCTGGTGGCTGAGGCGGTGCATGTGAGCCAGGTGGGTGCACTGCAGAGAGGTGCCTTTGGTGCCACGCTCATCTCTATTGTCTAAGTGGACACTGGAGTGAAGAATCCAGGGATCTGCATCAGGGATTCTTCCAGGAGAGTGCTGCTTGCTCCTGGAAGTGGATGCCATGTGCTTGGGCACAAATCAGCCAGTGTACAGATGGGTAAGCAGGAGCCAGACTGCAACCACCAAACAGGGCAGCTCCCCAGCTGGCACAGCTCAGCTCTGCTCTCCTCTGGAGCTGAACCTTTTGCCCTGATTTACTCATGCAGAGGGAGTTCTCCACACTGGTGGCTGCTCAGCCAGGAGGGCACTGTCACATTCACATTCTCTGAAAAATCCCTTTGCCCAGGATTTTTCTCCTGGGAAGCTGAGAAGCCTCAGAGAAAAGGAAAACAATTCTCATCTCATTTGCTTCTCCTGTGCTGTGCTCATGTGGAATGTGTTTGGAGATTGTTTACCCACAGGTGATTGTTCCATTGCATTCTGCTGTGAGTTGTTTTCACTCTTTGGCCAATCAGGGCCAGGCTGTGTCGAGACTCTGGAAAGTCACGAGTTTTCATTATTTCTTTTTAGCATTCTGTAAGTATCCTTTCTGTATTGTATAGTGTACTATTCTTTAATATAATATATAATATCATAAAATAATAAATTATCCTTCTGAGAACATGGAGTGGGATTCTTCATTCCTTCATTCCAACGTCGAGGCACAATACAATAGGACACCCTGTACTGTAGCCCCTTGTAGAGGAATACTAAACAAGACATGCTGAACCATCTCTAGCAGTGAAAGTCCTTAGGAGTCACCACAGAACATTAAACCTGGAGAAGAACAAACACCTACTGCTAAGAGAGAGGGCACAAAGAAAGATGAAGATCTTACCCGAACAAAGCTGGCTGGAAACCAGCCTTCACTGTCCAGAATCCTCCCCCACCACCACTCCTTGTTGGTGGCATCCATTACTTCGATGACATCGCCGGCCTTGAATCCCAGCTCCTGGTCATCCATGGTGACGTGGTCCCAGAGGGCCTCTGCGTACACCACGCTGCCATCGCTGATGAGCTGTGGGCAGAGCGGGCACACCGTCAGTCCCTCCACGGCAGCAGCACCGAGTGCCAGCCTGCCTGCAGCCCCGGCACACGTGCTGCTACCTCCGCACCCCCGTGAGCAATGAGGAGCAGCTGCAAGGCTGGCAGTTGGCTTTTGCCCTGCTCTCAACAGCATTTATTCAGAATCACTTGCACACACTATGGTTAGCACCATAAAAAAATTAATTCTGGTATTTCATCCTGCTGGTTTTGCCTCAGCCAGTAAACAAGGCTCAGTGGTACCTTGTTTGTGGAGGATGCTCTGGTGCTGCCAGTGCAGCTCTGCTTTGGAAAGCCTTGAAATAAAACCTTGAGCATCAATATTTAGAGACATACTTCAGAGCAAAAAGTTCTGGAATGGCCTGCCCAGGGTGGAGTCCCCATCCCTGGCAGTGTTTAAAACAGACTGGATGTGGCACTGGGTGCCAGGGTTTAGTTGAGTTGTTGGGATTGGGTTGGACTCTGTGATCTTAAAGGTCTCTTTCAACCCAGTGATTCTGCGAAAAAGCATTCAGAGTCCTCAGAGCTTCTCTGGAATAGCTAAAGCCTGAAGCCTGTAAGGTGGTTAAACATAGCACTTAAGATGCTTAAAATAAGACTCCTGGAGAGTTTTAAATAATTATATTGAGGAACAACAGTTATTTACTGCTGGGGCCCCCAGAGGCCCCACTCTAGGAAAAACAGGACCCCCAACAATCAAAGAACTCAAACCAAAACCAAAGCCATGTGTCTGGAAGCTGAAAGGAGCTCTGAGCTCAGTGATGCTGTGCCTGGAGCCATTGCTGACCGTTCCCACCTCAGCTGTGGGGTGGCCAGGTAACACCTGGGTGCTGCTGCCGTGGGGTCTCTGAGGGCTGAGCCTGCTGGCCACCACAGCAGGAGTGCCTGATGCCACTGGTTCGTCAGGTCTGAGTCTCCCTTGGATTTCAACAACTCCAGAGCACACTCACAGAGTTCCCAGGGCCCGAGGGTACCTGGGACTGTCTGAACACCAAGGGTTTTCCCAAGAAGATGGAGTGTGTAGTGGAGTTCTGCTGAAAAGGAATTGGCAGTGAAGGCCTGTTTTTCTCCAGGAAAATGGTGCAATGATGAATTATGGGAAGACAACAGGAAGACAGTATGGGAGGCATATGGGAGAAAGAGAAAAGCTGTAGGAAAGCCACTGTCCCTGGCAGGTGTCCCAGCTGTGCAGCAGTGACACCACAGCACACTTGGCTGCTCAGTCACCCAGAGCCATCCCCTGCTCTGGTTACTGCTGCTGCCTCTCCACAAAGGAGAGATAGATGCACGTTGGAAAAGAACGTCAGCATAAGCATCAACTGAGTAAATCAGAAGAGGGTTAATGAGGCATTTGAAAGAAAATTGAAATGCAGTCTGCCTTTGGATAGCAAATGCCCCTTCACTGAACCAGAAACAGCTAATGCAGTGTTTCCATTCTGACAGAAATAACAGGATGATGAGGAAGGAGAGGGTGAGAGGTTCCCACTTATCTACACAGCCAGTGTGTAGCCAGAGCTAGGTGGGATGCAGTGCACTGATGCTATGTGTATCTCTGTGAAAGCAGGGGATGGATCCATGGGGCAGCAAAACCAAAAGGGTTATTGATGTATTAAAAACAACAAAAGTGCCTTAGAATGGTCATGTAGAAACCTCTCCCCCCAAAAGGTGGTGGGATCAGCGCAAGTGAACCACACTAATGCACACAGGGTGGGAAACAAACAGGAGGAGTCCAAGTCCCCACTCCTCCTGGTGTGGAAGGAAAACTGGGATACAGCTGCCACCACAGCAACGTGGTGGGATGATTCTCACAACTGGAGCGCTGCAGTGGGTGGCCACAAATCCTTCAGAAGGAGCAGGCATGGAAGGAGAGGCAGTGGGGGAAGCCTGTATGTGAGGGAGTGTTTTGATGGTGGTGATGGCAGTGTTGAGTGTTCCCCCTCTCTGCTCTCTGGTGCCCAGTGACAGAACCCACAGGAACAGCCTGGAGCTGTGGCAGGGCAGGTTAGGCTGGATATCAGGAAAAGGTTCTTTCCCCAGAGGGAGGAGGGGCACTGAACAGGATCCCCAGCATCACAGCCTCAAGGCTGCCAGAGCTCAAGGAATGTTTGGACAACGCTGTCAGACACAGGGTGGAATTCTTGGGGTGTCTGTGCAGGGCCAGGACTTGGATTTTGATGATCCTTGTGTGTCCCTTCCAACTCAAGATACTCTATGATTCTCCAAATATACTTATCCATGAGCTGGATGAGGGGATTGAGCGCACTCTCAGTTATTTAGAGGTCTTAGCTTTTTAGCATAAAGCAGTGACAACTAGAGTAGGGAAGAGAGTGTATGTAAAAGCGTATTTTTCCAGACTTGGCTACCAGATTTCAGCTCCAGAGGAGCAGCTGGGCCCTGGGTGAGGGCAGGTGTAGCCACTCTCACAAAGAGCTCTGCTGCTGCTTTGGGCAGTCCATTTGCAGCGGGACTGCAGGGAGTGGTGCCTGTGCAGATCACAAGCCGGGCCCAGCTCCTCCTGCTGCAGGGAGGGAGAGCAGCAAAGGGTGAGGGGTGCCTGCAGCCCAGCCCTAGGCAGGGTGTTATGAATAAAAAGTTATCTATTTTTTGTTTAAGGTTGCAGAGTTAAAACCGTTGGACCGGTTGCTGTTAAGTTAGCTTCATTGTTAAAGAGTTCTTCTTCAATTGCCCGTCAATGGTTGGTGATTTAGCCATTGTCCCCCTGGTGCTTGCCCGGGAGAGACACCTGGACACGGCAGCACCAGGAGAATCGGAGTGGCCTGAGACCACGTATGCAGCTGAGGAATGCACTGCTCCAAATCTTCCCGTTTTCCAGGAAAACCCCTAAAAACAACGAGCCAACATAGAATTAGGGGACCCTAGGTGATGTCTAAGGATGGGTGCGTAGTCCAGTGCCTGCTTGGATCCTTTTTGCTTCTCACCCTGACCTCAAAGGATGTTCACTAAGGAGGGGACCCGAAGTGTTGGACCGAAAAGTAGGAATCTGCCAATCTCCCATAAGGACACAGTCCCCAGCTCTGCCTGCAGACCAGCGGACAGAGCTGCATCACCCTCCTCCTCCGTGCCACTCTTGGGGACAGCGGCGGTGTGGGCGCGACCCGTCGATTTCTCCCCACCTGAGCTGAATCTCTTTAATAAAGGCATTAAATAGGAGAAAGATCTCCTGCCCATTTATTTGACAGGGCAGCTGATTAAACACTCAGATCTCACTCTCAGAGCTGGGCACACACCGGGTCACGGCAGCTGCTGCCACGCCCTGCTGAGTGACACATCCCTGCGGGAAGGGATGGCTGCTGCTCAGGAAATGGCAGAAGCTGCTAAACCTTCAGAAGAGTGGTATCCAGCTGGCTTTTCAACACCCAAACTGTGACCAGCACATAGAGAACATGGCTCTTTCTCGGACAAAATACTTTCTCTGTGTGTTTAAATGTGGCAGCCTGGATGAGTGCTCCGAGTGTGATGTGCAGGCTGGCACACACCATGGCCATTTCCAGAGAGAGGCTAAGGGACTTCCTCTAGCACTGAGATGATCACACAAACAGAGCACTGGTGATGTGAAGGCATTAATACCACACAGTACCACGCTGTCACATCTTGGTAATGTGATGAGAAGAAAAGAGACCAAGCCTGACCCAGCATTCTCAGCACAGAGGGCTGACACTCAGCTCACAGAGCCACATGGTTCTACTCAGAGTCACTGAAATCCACAGGGCTGGGGAGGGAATCCTCAGCTGGTATTTTAATCCATGCATTAATATTAATACCTTACATTTTCTCTATTCAACAACAGCCATACTGTGGATATGATTTGGAAGACACAGGAAGTCACAACTGTGGGATCACCAGCCTGGCCAAATAGGCAGGCAAGACACTGCCAGTTCTCATGCAAAAGAATAAATAAAATACATCTGAACAACAGGCCAGGATTTGTTTAACTGACAACAAACACCATATTTCTGGGGAGGAATGATCTATAAGGCATGAAATAAAGAACAAAAAAAAATTTCATCTGTTCATGGGATTATCTCAATTAATGTAACACAGCAGCACTGAACACACCTTCATGTGCTCAGGCTGACAGGCTCTGCCTGGCCCCCTCCCTGCCCCACCTCCTCCTGTGTTGGCACCCCAGGGTGGGCAGGGGCAGACCTGGGTGCTGAGCAGTGCTCAGAGCTCTGCTCCTCTCTGCCCCAGCTCGGGCTGTGCCTTTTGCTGTTATTTCCCACTGTACCCAGTCCAATTCCTAGGCAGAAATACCCACTACACCCAGCCCAAGAGCCCCTCTCCCAGAGCAGGTGCTGTGGGGCAGCTCAGAGCCAGGACTGGCATT